ATGTCCACATCCTGTTTTACTTCAACATTGAGATGCCATATTGGTTTCCATAACTTTCAAGGGTAGGATGTTTTTGTTTGCATCTCTTCACCCCCGTTATCACAATCTTTAAAAAAAAATTCTAACCCAAAATCTATGTGCTAGGGTAGCAGACATATTTAAGTTCTTTAACCATTTCCTTCTATTAAATTTCCTTCTATTAAATTCAATATATACCCTATATGTACGTTTCTCTAAGTTCTCAAGTCATGACTTTGAAATTAAGACATACCTAAAAAGCTCTGGGTAGCAAAAGATGGAAAATGGCATCAAGAGTGGAGAAAAAAGGGAGACAGTGATTTTTTTGAAAACAGAGGAACAGTAGGATATTGGGGGGACAAGAAAAGGACAAGAGGTGGTAGCAACAGTAAGAGATGTCAGTGGTGATGGAATATGTCCCTGGTTATTTTTTTAACTAAATGGAAAAGGAAGGCTATAAGGTTTGGCATTGTGCTTTATGACAGATAAGGACATGATGACCCTTCCAGAATGCCCAGATTGACCTAGACCATCTAATTTGGGACTACCTGGAACTCATTTCAGGAAGATAGAATACTCAAGAAGGCTTAATGATCTGCCCTCAAAGACTAACTGGATGAATTCAAATTCAAAGAGGGAAACATCTTTCAAATTCACTTTAAAAGCTTTCAAAAATTTTATTTAAAACTAAAAAGCAGAAAGAGCAAGATTATAGTCAGACAAATACTGTGAAATATTTGGGGCAAGAATTAGGGTGAAGTGGGGAGGAAGAGAAGGATTGCCAGATTTGTTACCTAAGGGGTACAATTATCCCCACAACATATTTCTCAAGAACTTTTCAATCTTTAAGCTTTCTGCTTCTGTGCTTTCAAAAGCCAGCCTAGATATAGTCTTCTAAGTGTGTGATGCAGAGGAAATGTGAGATGTATCACTGATTACTTTCAGTTCCCAACTGTCCTATTTTTATAGCTATCTATAGCTATGTAGTTGACAATAAACTATTTCATAAATGTCAGCCACTTCCCACAAGTTTTAAATTGCTTGCTTCCTACCTGTGGAAACACTTAAGGAAATGACTTTAATTTTTTTTCTAAGTTAATTTTTTTTCTAAGTTAATCCCTAATTATAGCAATCAGAGAAATGTAATTTTTATAAAACTTCTTTCAAAGAGTAACTTTAATGTGCTAATTTATTTTTTTGCTCTTACTTATTTCTCTTTTTTTTTGTTGTCATTTAACTTTTTCTTTCTTTAATTCCAGTTTGTTAACATATAGTGTAATATTAGTTTCAGGTGTATAATGTAGTGATTCAATACTTCCATATACCCGGTGCTCCTCACAGCAAGTGAACTCTTAATCCCCTTCACCTGTTGCCGCCATGCCCCCACCCTCTTCTGGTAACCATCAGTTTGTCCTCTATAGTTAAGAGTCTGTTTCTCAGTTTGCCTCTCTCTCTCTCTCTCTCTTTTTCCCCTTTGTTTGGTAACCTACTTATTAAACTAAAAGTTTCTTAGTAGGTAGAATAACAATTTTTTTGTTTGTTTGTTTTAAACTGAGGATTAGCAGTAGACTAATCAAGCCATCTTTGCAAATGTGGAATAGAGTTGAGGTCTAGTCCCTCCTTTTTTGATAGGGTACCCCTATCTGGGGCATCCCTGTTGGGGACCCTTTTTATTCCTTAATTGGTGTAACTCCAATAGGTGGAAAAGTCTGATGTTGAGACCATTCATTTCTCAGTCACTGAATGAGGACAGACTTCTGCCAGTCAGCTACCTGAGGTATCACTAAACTGAAGCATGCCCACTGTGATAAGCCAAAAGAATCAAGAGCTGACCTAAATGGATGGAGGCAACCAGAAAGAGCATATTGAAGAAGGTGTGTTTTGAAAAACAGGAAAAGAATTAAGTGATAGTAAGAGAGCAGAAAAGAATCTCATGAATGGGATCAAGTTATAAAGCTTTGTTTCATATGAAATGAATAGAAAAAGGATAGTAAGGATGTTTCACCAAATGTATCAGTTTCTAGAAAGACAAAATGGAATAGTGACTTCCTATTTTGATAAATTTTCAGCTACTTTTTGGGTAACTAGTTATTGAGCAGTGACTGTTGTCAATTGTTTTTGATTTTAGTATTTAGCTGGGGAGTAGACACCTACTTATAAATTTGCAACATTTAATATATCTTTACATGCATGTCTGGAGTCTGAAGTTGCTTATCCTTTTCCCTCTCTTTTGAACATTGCTATGACTTCCATGCTTCATCTTATTTAGTCTTTTCCACAACCCTGTTAGGTTGAATATTACGCCCGTTTTCCATGAGGAAACTGAGGCTCAGAAGTGTTTAGTGATTGGGGCCAAGCTCACATCTAGAAACCGAACCCAGTTCTGTCTGAATCCCAAAGTACTCTTAACTGTCATACTAGCTGCCTGCCTGATTTGGGTAAAGTGATGGTGGGCCACTGCAAGCGTGTTTACTTAACTAGATAATCTATTCCATGTGGTAATGAGAAATGAAGGTTTTAAATGGGTATTTAAGAAAGACAGGAAACTGCCATTACAGAACTCAGAAGTGACAAGGTGAAAACAGGGACTGCGAAAGAGAATTCCAGACCTATTTTTAAGGACAGGAACAGGAAGAAACTAGAAATGGTTCGGTTTGGTTTGGTTGGTTGGTTTTGTTTAATAAAGCACACCAGGAGCAGTCACAGCATGGTAGGGAGCAGGTCTAGGTTCATGGGAAGTAGAAGGAAGGCCCAGCTGAAGTTAAGAAGGTGAATGTGAGGGGAGAAAGTCACGGAAGAGTTAAAAAATCATTCCCAAATTGACAAGCTTAGCAAACCGGGGATGGTAACTATATTGTATTTGATGAAAAATCTGAAATGGAGTGGTTATTTTGGGTATGGTAAGAGGATGAATTTGAAATTCAATACTCATATAATTGGGAGCTGCATTGTGTACTTAGAGTAAAATTCCAAGGCAGCCTCTCTGCTTAGCTCCACCCCCAATTCAAACTTTTTATGCCCCACTACAGCAAAAAGACCAAAACACTTTTACAGGAAGGAATAATTTGGAAAGACTGGGCTATAAAGCCAATTGAACTTGGTGTTGATAGCTCAATCATGGATTTCGTTAGACCACAGGTCTGCTATATCTAGCTGTCTTACGCAGATTGCAAAATCTATTTCCTTTCCATCAATGATATATAGGCTAGTTAAATGTCAGAGTCCCTCCCTCTTTTCTTCCTTCTCTCCCTCCCTTCCCTCTTCCCTCCCTCCTGTTTTGGCTGGGGGTAAAATTCACAGGACATGTGCTTTGGTCATTTGTGGCTGGTTTCTCAAGATATTGAATGATGATTTTAGTTATATAATTGACTCCAAACAATAGAATATATTTCAATTCTGGATATATTTTATAGACTTGTCTCTTTCTTAAAAACCTTTTTAAAAAAAGTTTATTTATTTATTTATTTGACAGAGATGACACGTAGGCAGAGAGCCAGGCAGAGAGAGGGGGAAACAGGCTCCCCACTGAGCAGAGAGCCTGATGCCGGACTTGATCCCAGGACCCTGAGATCATGACCTGAGCTGAAGGCAGAGGCCTGAGCCACCCAGGCACCCCTAGATTTGTCTCTTTAACACAGATAAACATTTCCACTTGGGCTTCATCCCATTTGTTCAAAGAATGATTTGTTCTGACTTTATATTCAATGAATGAATCACCAAAGTGTTCCAGCACATATTAGACACCATTAAATAGATGGGAAGGTTTTTACCAGTGGAGCCTGTTTTATCTAGGCAAACTTTTCCTTATTAATTCAATCCAACAAGCGTCTCAAAATCACATTTTTGTGTAAATATGGGTGGATAGTTTCCATCATTAATTTATAAAACTTTATTCTCCTTAAAAACATTAACTTATATTTCTTCCCTAAAAAAATAAAATTGTCAGAATTTTTCACTTGAATTCCCATATTTCTTGTCTTGAAAGAAAAATCAATAACCTCTGTGCTCCCAGATCTGTATTTATCACATTCTACTTTCCTCCAATTCCCTACCAAACAACAAAAACAATAGAAAAGCAAACTCAAGAAATGGAAAGAAAGAGAGAAGAATGACTATAAGCCGCAAAGTCTGATTTGATTTCCTAATAATGGGAAATTATTTTAACAGACTTATGGCATTATATAGGAGGACTGCATCTTTCAGAGTGTGAGCAATCAAGAGAAAAGATAAATGTATTCAATGTACTGTCTACGAAGCATTTTTTAAAAGATTTTATTTTTCAGTAATCTCTTCACCCAATGAGGGGCTCAAACCCACAAACCAAGATCAAGAGCTGCACCAAATGAGCTAGCCAGGCACCCCTGTATGCTAAACTATTTATGCGCAGTATCTCATTTAATCTTTACAATCAACCTTATGAGTGGTGTTACTATTTACACTTTACAAATGGGGAAACACTAAACTTGGTTAAATAATTTGGCTAAGGTACAAGGTACAGTTTAATTCAAACTAATCCCAGAATAAAGGCAGTGTCTGAGTTTTAAACCAACTACTGTGCAATATACTGCCTATGTTACTATACCTGTCATGTTGTATAGTCTGGGATATATGGGTAGTGTAGTAGTGTGGGTAACCCTATTTGCTAGTTTTCTGTCTTGTCACCAACTTCCTTGAGTTAGGAAGTTATATTTCCTCAGAAAATGTCAATAGTTCTTGAAGATGAGATTTTTTTCTCCCTTTGCAACAGAATCGAATCCTCTGGGTTGATGAGAACAATCTGACAGCTCACGTGGAGGCTGGTATCACAGGACAGGAATTGGAAAGACAGGTAGGTTATTTCCTTTAATTAAGGCTTACAAAGCATTTCTTACTGTTTTGCTGTAAATGTTATGGCTGGTTACAGACATGCACTTGTTAAGGGACGATTCTGTACAAAGAAAAGATTACCAAGCATTACACTACTGCTGTCAATTCATACTTACGGCAACTGCCTCCAGGATTTGTTTAACAGCGTCTGCAGCATCTCGTTCACTATAATACCCCTTCTCCACAATCCTAAAAAGAAAACCAGGAAATCCTTCTCAGACACATGGGTTCAGGGGAGTGGATTTTTTTTTAAAGAAGTTAACTGAATTAATGTTAAGGAAGATGCATCTGAACAATCGCAACATGTCAGCATAACACCAGGGGAAATATTTCCATAAACTGATACTCTAGCAATCTTGGGTCTCTTTAGGAAAATGAAACACATTTATTTTGCCTAGGCTTGAACTGTCCATCCTGTTTGAGGACAAGAGAAAAAAAATCTTTTGAAACTCTGTATTGAGAATCGTGTTAAATATATACCAAGTAGACAACACACCATGAAACATCCCTTGTAATTTTTACACAGCTTCAATGATTATTAACTCCTGGCCAGTGTTGTTTTATCTATCCAATCAATTATTTCCCATCCTCTTTTTTTATCATAAAGCAAATATTTGGCATCACATAATTTCATTCATAAGTAAGGTGTTGTCTCTAAAAGTATAAAGGACTTTTTAAGACTCATAACTATAATGCCATTATCATACCTATAAATTATAATTCCTTAATATTTTCAAATATACAGTGTTTCAGATTTCCAACTGTCTTGGACATGTTTTTGAAATCTGTTTGTTTGAATACATATCCAAATAAGGTCCATATAGTTTGACTAGTACTTCTTTCTCTTATCTTCCTTTTACCTGGAGCTCCTTGCTTCTCCCTCCTTCTCCCACCCCTCTCCTCTTTCTCCAGCTGGCTTTTTTTTTTTTTTTTAAGATTTTATTTATTCATTTGACAGATTTCACAAGTAGGCAGAGAGAGAGGGGGAAGCAGGCTCCCTGCTGAGCAGAGAGCCTGATGTGGGGCTCTATCCCAGGACCCTGGGATCATGACCTGAGCCAAAGGCAGAGGCTTTAACCCACTGAGCCACCCAGGTGCCCCTCTCCAGCTGGCTTTCTATTCTAAAGAAATGACTTGCTCTTTTTGCATGGATCTGGACGAGGAAAGTTTCTTTTCCTTTAAGGAATCTTTATTTTAACTTAAATCTTTTCCATTTTAATTCCGGGAATGTTTTCCTGAATTAGAATGCTTTGTATGTGTTTTCTTCCATCACTTTGGTTTTCTTTTTTTGGGGTGTGCAATTATATGTATCGTGAGTTTTTCTACTTTTGATTTATATTGTTCTTCTATGAATTTCTTAATTTTAGTATTAAGTAATGTTAACTTTAATTTTCTGTAGATCATGTTATACTTTTATCTGTTTTGTGGGCATATCATCCTGACATGCTGATTTTCTATGCTCTTATAATCATTTTTATTGCAATTAATGGAGACACCTGTCTGTTGTTGCTTATTTTTAAGCAAAGTTGGTTTTCTTAACCATTTTGATAGAGTGATGGGTCAGGCTATCTTTTCTAGTTTCATGGCCCTTGACTGATTGTTTTCATGAAGCATTCAAAATTATGACCTCATACTTTCTGAGATCTCTTCTCTTCTATGTGAAACTTCATTCCCTTGCCTCTACACATCTCTGCTCTGGTTATTGGAGTCTCTTTTCAGCAGTTTCTCCTAATGTACACAAGGCGGCTTCAGATATTAGTTTCAGGAGTTCATAGGGCCTTAACTGCATTAGTTTCTTCAGACCTTATTGTGGGTGCAGCCCTTGTGCTTCTCAGAAATTTGGATGGCAAAAAGCTCTCACAATTTCAGCTGTTCTTATATTGGCCCATTCTGCTTCCCAATGATTTGGAGGCTTTGGAGATTTGAGTGTTCTCCTATTCTTAGGTTCATCAGTGTCTTCTTGCATCCTCTAACATAGATGCTAATACCATGAAGCTCTTGCAATCATTATTAGCTTGTCCTCATTCACATGTTTTCTAGGCTTCATGGGGAAGCCTTGTCACCTGGTTTTGTTATAGATATTGTCTATAAATTTTTGTTTTTTCTGTCCTATATAGGGATACTTCAGAAGACTGGAAAACCACACTGTTGCTGTTTCTTTCTTCCCAAAATTTCAAGAGAAAACACATTTTTGATAACACCAAAGATTACCAACTTGCATAAGATGTTTTCAGCTGACAAAAGGTTTATTGTGAAAAGTCTGACAAAGGTCAATTCAAAACATGTAAGAGTCAAACTTGAACATTTTTTATAGCTTTGCATTGAAATTTTTTAGAGTGTTAATATCTTAAATAGCACATTTATTTTTTAGAAATTATCTTCCATTCTTTTTTTTTAATGTTGTGGTAAGAAGTTATAAGTTCTTGAAGTAGTTGGTATTAGAAGCTGGAATTAAAAATCTATAGAATCTTTCCAAAATAGGGGATGGATGATGAGGAAAAGCAGAAAAAAAAGATATAAAATAATATATAAGAAGATACCTTAACAACCATAATAATCAAGATTCAAAAAAATTATATCGATGCAAAAATTTCAATTATTTTTTCCATTCAATTATTCAGAACATTGTCAAGAAACACCAACTCATTATCTTTTCAAAATATGAAAGATGGAATATCCTTCCTCACCTTTTTATTTATTGAATACTTGTTATGAACCACATTTCAAATAAAATGTGAAAGTAGGTTATAGTATTCAGGGAATCATTATTAATTAGTTTTTGAAAATCAGTTTTCATACAATGTTTCAAGATTACAAATTCTTCCAATTCATGATTAAGTTAAGTAGAGGACTTACTAAACATTTAATTAAAAGAAATTACTTGTACTGTACTTTCTGAACATTTTAAAATTAAGCATGAGAGAAGAGGAAAAGAAGGACTACTGTGTCAGGGTAGGTTGAGAACTTTGGTTACAACTACATCGTCTTCTGCATTTTGTTCTAAGTGTGGATTTTGCAGTACATCCATCAACCAACTCAAATGTAATTAATGTCTCCTTTGTGTGTGGCACCTGCACTCTCAGCAGCTTGGCTTTCCCCAGTCCTTTTAAAGGAGGGGAGTTGTTAGAAAAATGATGGGAAGGAATGGCCAATGGTTAACTTTCTTTCCACCTCCCATTCTCCCCAGAAGAGGATAAAATCAGTTACTTCTGGCCTGCAAAAAAACAGTGTGGATTTTCCCCATGGCCACTCACCAAGGCTAGAGTTTTATTACAACTGCTTTGTGGTGCCCCTCTAGGGGTGCTCCTCATGGCTTAGTCTACATAAGCACTACTCCTTGGGGTTGTACAGAGCCAATTTGCACAACCACGTGCAGCATCTCTGATGAGAAATCCTCCTTGTCTGTTAAATACAGGGGTTCTTATGAACGTCCCTACCTCTTAGAGGGGCAGTGCCTCACACACTAGAGATTCCTCCTTATATTCTGATTTATTATGATTTCTCAAGCTTTGGCCTAAATATGATGTTTATGCATTTTCATTTGGGTATATCTTAGAGTTAAGTGCTTATGTTCAGAATGTGACCTTATGTGTATGTCTAGGGACTGGCTGGGTAAAGGAGTGAATTTTGGGGGGACCTATTTTTAGGTGGGATAGAGGGAAGAGTAGTAGGTGTAAGAATGGTTAATGGAAATCTCACTAATTTTCCACAATATAAGTTAAGTTAGTAAAATATTTCATCCAGCTAATAAAAAGGATACATTCTAACAGATATGTCCATTCATTCATCTATTTAGTAAATATTATGGAATGACTGTTACATGCTGGGCATTTAGAAATGAACCAGACACAACCTCTGCACTTACGGGGTTTCTCTTGGTATAAGCAGACAGACAACAATTGACATACTGTGTTGAATGCTGTGGCAGAGATATTAGAAAATGACCTGAGAGCTTGTAGAGAGGGCCAGTGATCTATTCTGGAGGCTGTTTAGGGTGGGAAAAGGATTCCAGAGGTAGCTATATCTCAGCTCAGACCTCAAGGGTACATAAAATTTTTCTAGTTGCAGAAAGGGTAGGGGCTGGGAGTGGGATAGATATGGAAGAGTAGAGACTGGAGAGGAAGGAGATTGTTCTAAGAAAAAGGACCAACACTATAGTGAGAATTAGAGACAGCGGAGGGCATAGTCATAACCAATATTTCTGTGAGCTAGCTATTGGCTGAATCAGTAAAGAATAAGATTTGTGGGGCGCCTGCGTGGCTCAGTTGGTTAAGTGTCTGCCTGGGGCTCAGGTCATGATCTCAGAGTCCTGGGATCAAGTCCTGCCTTGGGCTCCCTGCACAGTGGGGAGCCTGCTTCTCCCTCTGCCTGCTGTTCCCCCTGCTTGTGCTCTCTCTCTTCCTGACAAATAAATAAATAAAATATTTTTTTTTAAAGTTTAAAAATTCTAAGATTTGGGTCCTGCCCCAGATGAGACTACAGACAGTACAAAAGTTATTAACAAAAACATCACCATAGATGTAATACATGTTATACTAAGGTTTGTACAGCCAAAGGATTTATAAATTCTGTTGTCAGAAATGTCTCTAGAGTAGATATATGGGACAGGAGTACAGAATGCAAGTGCCTTCCCCACCCAATCCACATGAACTCAGCTTGCCACAACATGGCCCTACTTTTAGAACTTAACCACGCCTCTTCTAGGCTCCTGCTCAAAGGAATTTTTGTTCCCAGTTGATATGTTCATCAGAGTGTTACAGAGTTAGGTTGCTGGAACCCGGATATTCAACTTTAAGTATTCTACCAGTTGAGCTGCCACCTAGGCCATTTATGGCTGACTAGAAAGGTCAGTCAATAACAGAGAACTTCTCAAGTTGCAAATGCAGGTTTATAATCTACAGCTAAGACTGTAAGTGAAGACATTAGTGATCAAGCAAAGGAAAATGAAGTCTTGCAATCTTTTTCATGTGGGCATGACTATAGTATGTGTGTTTGGCCAATGCCTTCTGCAGGTTATTGTGGGAAAATTCTTAGCCTTCTCACTAGATTGTTGTTTCCATCACCCATAGGACCTAGCTCCAAGCCCCGCTCATAGTAGGCAGTCAGTAAATATTTGTAGAATCAATACTAACTGCCAACTGAATAGGTGCCAGAGAAATTTCAGACTGTGGACATATGAGCAGCTCCTT